CCTCAAATAAAAGCTTCTTCACATGTGCTCTCATTCCTTAAAAATACGATGAATGGAGTTACTTCTAAGTGTCAGATTTGTACTTCTCACTGCCCTTTTGAGAAACTTGGAAAAGACATAGCTGAGAAAGAGGAAATTAATAGATCAGGAAATAATCTATAATAAATCAAATGCAGTCAATATAGCAATTTTTTTTGTTGCTGCTATCATTAGACTGGGTGTAGGAAAGCAGAATTCATCAAACTTTCCAAACACAATGCAGACTCCTCCAAATCAGAAAGTAACATTCAATTTGGTTTACTTGCATGAAACTAATATCTTTAGCTGCCTTCCCCCCACCGCTCCTCTCTTGAAGTGATGGATGTTTGAAGCTGAGGTCCAGATACCTCAACCAACTTTAATAACCCCTGTTTGGTTCCAGAAGAAAGGAAATGGTTTGCAATATCCTAAAGTCCACTAGACCCACTGATTATTTCTTTCCTTTTTATCTTCTGTCTCTGTAGATCAGCTCTAACCCAAAAGCTATGAGATCTGGTATAAGAGCAGTGCTGTACCCATGCTAACAGGCCCGGCTGAAAGGAAGGGTATAATCGCTCAGACTTCAACTAGCCACTTTAGGGCAAAGACAGTCTGAGTTCTCATTTGCCTCACTCAACCAGATATGTTGGTGCAAAATTTCAGATACTTCTTCAGGTCATTTTGGCTTAGAAAGCTTAGATCAGTCCACTAGGAACCACAAACAACATCATGGGCAGAGATGACCAGTAGTACATAAACGATGGGCATTGCATTACAAATAATCCTCGTAATTAATGGGTAATGTAGATTTTTATTTGTTTGTTCAGTGAAAAAATACATTACGGACATACAAGCGCTTTCTAAGAAAGAGAGTAAGACTGAGAAATATCATTGATGCTACTCTATCAATCAATAGTACAGGAATGTTCACATATAAGGCGAGCCCCATGCATTGCATAAATCAATACAGGATTGAGCTCATGTTGAGTCATATCATCAATAACTGTGCCATACTATTTTCCTTTTTCACACCCCACCTAAACGCAGACCAACAGTAGCTGAAAGAAGCAGTGTGAACCACTGCTTAAAATTCTCCCACCAAAACGAGGGAGAGTCAATGTGATTTCCATGTCTTTGCTGGAATTCATTCCCTCTCTGGATACTGCCAAACCAACCCAACCAGGGATGACTCATCCACAGGGCCTCATAAAGTACTTCTGAAAGGCTTGGGTTTTGCCTTTGGAATGCACTGGATTACACCAAGAGTTTGTGATGCTCCAGTGTGGGGGAAGAGGACATCCCTGACTCTTCCCTACAAGGACATTCCCAGTCTTCACTCTGCAGTATTAACTGCATGCTCAATTTATTCCTCACTACCTAAGGAAAGCATTGAACGTTCATTCCTTTGGCAAATGATATCACCCTTCCACTTCGATTTTGCTTCTGAGACAACATTTTTTTGCTTGCATAGGAAAACAAATGAACAAATTGCCCGATCCCTCACTCTTCCTTGTTTTCCCATTTCTAACCTTGTGGTAAAGAGATGTATGATGAGCTATAGAGGAAAAAATCTGTGGGAGTCCCAGCTAAAACACTGTCAGCACATCACTGGATGAAGTAGAAATATAAAAACCCAAAGAAGGGCAAAAATAAAACAAACAGAAGAAAAGAAATATTCCACAAGAGGAGAGAGTATAAGCCAGTAGAAGCCTTGTTTAGAAAGGATTTGATAGATCACATGGCAGTTCACATGAATTAATGAGTAGAGTAAACAAGTCCACTTGGCTGATAGTCATTTTTCCCTCAATGCATATTAACTAAAATTGAACCCAGTATTCGTAGTACAACATATAGTAGAGCTATGAAATTTACTACCACTTACACTGCATTAATGAGCCAACAACCTCATATGACTTTAAATTGGGCAAGAATTTCGTAACAGTAAGATCATTAGTGACAACAGCTAAGATAAACATTTACAGAATACATCATTCCTCACATCTAAGGACTGAAATCAAATGTTTTGCTGACTGGAGTTAGGAAAAAACATCATCGCTGGTAGATTTTTGCATCACTGTCTGCCATGGCTGATGATAAACTTTAGTTGAAGCCCCTGGGTTCTGGCAACATTCAGCAAAGGTGCTGGGAAAGCTGCTTGTTCTGATTATGACAATTTCAATGATCCTATGTAAGGTTACAAAAAGTCATAGAAAGAGGTAAAGAAAATGAAGAAATTCCTTGGTAATCAACTCACTTAAATCTGTATAATATGCCAGGAAAGACAGAAAAACATAACGGTTCCTAGCTTCAAGAATTTACCAAATGTGCACAAGAGGTATCTAAAGTTCTACCTGCTGAAGTTCAGCCAGCTCTTTAGCTGTCCAGAGATGTGTCACATATCTATTTCTATTGATGTTATCAGAACTCCTGAGGTGAAATGTCTTAGAAGTTCCTCAGAAATGGCTTCATAAACCTATTTATTGATTTGGCTTCTCAGAAGCGGCTTGCATGAGTTCCTTGACAGTCACATCTGAAATGAGTTTCTACTTGCTTATATCTCGCTCTGTGAGCCCAAAAATGGAAAGGCAAAAGGTATATTAGTCAGCACCATATAGTATTTGTTAAGACCATGTTTTTATAGAAAGTCTTTGGAAAGGAAAATAGAGGTCTATTGGGAAAATACACTCAAAGTACTGTGTTTGTCATATCTGGGCAACCTAGCTGTAATGATAAGGTGTGTGTTCATCTCTAGCTGCTGGGCTGGAGTGTTATAAGGTCACATATTGTGGAAGAAAAATTGGGCCTGTCTCACAGAAGACCTAGAGAAATGACTGAATCAGGACTGAATAAGGGAATATTTCTCTTGCAAAATGGTAATATAAATGATATGGGGCTGACTAATAATACAGTTGGTTTCCACTAACTAACAGAAGAACATGATGATCTACAGAGCTGAATTCCAGACTTTGAGCTAAGATAATCTTTTTTTTCTTATTTTCCATCTGAGTCAGTTAGAACAAAACCTGTGTTCAAGAGACCAAGTCTCATGCTTTTTGCTTCCCTATTTAATCTCATGTGGGTACCCCATCCAATCTGAGATGCAGAAGATATTCCACATGTCAGAAGCCCCATAATGGTGGCTCAAACATAGTTCCAACTCATAACAGACTTATAATGCAAATAATCTGTGGACAGTTCGACCAAGAAAATAAATATTTCTCATGGACGAAGAACTGATTCATTTAGCTGAAAGATGATGAATCCAGGATGCATGTGAAAGCACAGTGCCATATGTGTCTCCCAATTCACAGGTTTTAAGGTTCCAGTTCTAAAAAGGGGGACATCCAACTTAATGGGAGAATTAGACAGAAGTTCAGCCAGGCCAAATCTCTGGCCACCACTTTGTCCTACGTGTGTTTTTCTAATGGACAGTATAGCCTGTCTCAGTGCTTTCAAATTAGTGAGTCATATCCCCCCTGTTTAAGTGTACCTATTTTTAAAAGTAGATAGAATTTTTAATTAACGGAGCACATTGTTATGTCTGTAGTCAATCTCCCCTGTACTCAGAAGAGCTACCCTGAATCTGATTATTATCTCACAAAATCAACCTAGTTTAAGAATTATTCTTCCTGAAAATGCAATGGGCAATCTCTTCTCTTGAATATTTTGTTAAAAACAGTAAGCTGCATGTACATCCTAGAAGAATTTGAACATGCGATCTGAGCTAAGATCTTAAGCAGTCTGAAAGAACACATCAGTCTGCCGAATATGATATCCAGGAAAATACAAGTTCTCATTTCAAAGGTAATACACACACACTCATACATATATATGTATATAAATCTGTATGGCATATTTGCTGTGCAGGCCTAGACTCCTTGTGAAGTTGTTTTTCAGTATAGCAAATTAGAAAAACATGCCCAGAATTAAAGGTTACTTAATCGGGTTGAAGCAGTAACTTCAATTCCAGCAACTCCCTCCCACTATGTTACATCTGATAATGCACCCGAGTCCAAACATAAACTTAGTTCAAAAAGATGTTTGGTCCTTGAATGTAAAATGACACTTAGCTTACACAATTAGCCAGGTAATACATATCCTTCCAAGAGAAGCAATTTTTACCGCAGAATAATCTGCATTTTACTAATCTCTGATTGTTAAGTTTTACTTGCTGAAACTTTTCCATATGGCTTTTCGAATACCACTGTCCTGTATTTAATTACCACAGAAGGATATTAATGAAAAGGTTGGAAATTTGGCCCAAGCCCCGTTCCACAGTTTGGACAGTTTGATGGAGATAGAGCCAATGAGCAGAACATTTCTGTCAATACGAGGCTGTGCCATTTCACACACGAAAGCACTGGCAAAAGAGGAGTAAACAGAAATAAACCACCCAACTATTTTTGAATTGTCCATAAACTTCTAAAATAGTATGGTCATAAAGTAGCATTGAGTGAAGTGAAACACTGGTTCAGTAACCTAAAGGACAGTCAAACAGGAATTGGTGGAGTAGTCCTTGTAATCGAGACCATTTTTGTCAAGCTGTAAGTAAGATGCATGCCCAGAAATGCAAAGTGTACTTCCCAATTTTAAAGGCAAAACACGATATTGAGCAGAACCAAGGCACGGGTAGGCAGCTTGGAGTGCAGAGGATGCGAGGAAGCTAACGTGGGTGGGAAAGCATATGTTGCTGCCTGGATGAGGAAGTGGTACACCACAGTTACTTCATAAGTGCAGGGGCTTTATAAACTAAACCTCCTAGGGACTGTTTTAAATAGACAAAGAATGACATGCAGCCCTGACAGGCTTTCAGTATTGTTTGAGAAGGCTGGCTGCCTTCTAAAAACACTGGACTGCCGCTTGTACTTCTTCCAAAAATGCCTATTTTTAACCTCAACCTCTTCATATAAACAGTGGGCAGATGCACCATGTAGTAAACTCTGTTTTGTCTAACATGAAATTAATGGCTTCCTCAGTCTTACCTGACAATGGAAAACATATTCTGGTGTGGTTTTCTTGAACTTCATGTTCCATACCAAGGCTACCCCATCAGGCTCATGTGGAGCATCTTCATTATTGTTATAAGATGCAACCATCAACTCGGGGTACTAGAAAGAAAAAGAAAAGGCAAATTCAATAAGACGGATGATGAAGAACCTACGCAAAATCAGATGAGACAGAAATAATCTCACAATACATGTGCCATATCTGGTCTTAATTATATTACACACTAAGTCAAATCATAGTATTCAGCTTCATTTTGGTTTTATATTTACCTCGTCCCTGACATCCTTAAAGCCCCTGCTCCTTGCTCTCTATCAGTTATTCTCAGATACCACAAAGGCAATGTTATTTTCTGCAGGTAATTCTCAGAAAAGACAACTGGCAGGATATTCATAAAAGGAATGCAAAGCAAGGAAGAGGAAAAATCTGAAAGCTTGAGTAATTACAATGTATTTGCTTAACCATTTCTTCAGGGACAAACCATTGTCTTAATTGATTTTCATAATAAAAACACTATGACCATAGCGTTGACTTACTTTTATTCTGAAATTCACAGTTTTTTCAGCATGCCTGAAAACTACTCTTTCTTATTTCATTATGCACTCTTCCTATTCACTTATGCATAGAATCAACTTGAAAGCTCTTCTTGATGATTCAAATAGCAAACAAAACATTTTCTTCACAGAAGCTCAATTTTGCAAGATGCTGAGGTCATCTTGTAAAGCACAGGGTGACCTCGAATTCCACTGACTCAGTAAGATGCAATGAGCACTCGAAAATCAGATCCATATTTTCTTGTACACCCATTATCCACTGATATATAGAAGTAGATATGCAACACACACATACGTATGTGTTCTGTTTATACATATGTACATATATGCACACATACATAATATTACATATGAAAAATCAGATTTTCATATTCTGTTGATGACCTTGTATCATTTCAAAACACCGTAAGAAGTAACAATTTGCCACAAAATGTCAATTACTTTCTGCCTACACAATAGCACCCAGTTCTCCACTGTCACATTTGACACTAGGCACCTCTGGTAGCCTCTGTCCTTGCCTCTAAATAGTCAAAGTAACGCAGTGGACCTTATGGCGTGTCCAGAGAAAAGCATGTGGCTTCTGCAGACCGACGAGCCAGCAGCCCAAGCTCTGCAGGACCCACACCCTCCTCTTGTAAACTAGAAATGCTTTCCCTCAAAGTTTCTCAATGATCTCCGCAAATCATTGTCACTTTTTGTCTTTCCCAGGTAAATTCCTGCCAAACCATTCACCACTTTATAGGGGAACTGCGCAGCTGGTAGATGTAAAGGAAGTGGGACAAAGAAACTGCCAATAGTACTATTGGGAGCTGTGAATTTGGTCCACACCAAGCATTTTAAAAACAAAAAAAAAAACCCTCCACCACCCTTTATATCATTATTATTGGGGTTTGAACCTCCCTGCTCTCAAAATCCATTTGGAAGAAATAATGCGCACAGCTATAACTTTTGCCATCAGCAGCTGTTCTTTCCCACTTCGTGTACACTTCCATGGATAATACATCATGGAGCTGATGATTTTTCTATTCAAGCTCATCGTTCCAAACGAGCCTGGACCCACGTGTGGGAGAACCAGCAACAACACGTGGCCACCAGAGCCGCCTCTTTCCCATTTTGGGGTGGCTCTGACTGGGTTGTACCTATATCCTGGCAGACCCTGGCTGCTGGCACAGCTTTTAAGGGCAATTTAGCCCCCAAATCACTTGCATGGGATTTAGAGCATGCAGCAGACCAATCATCTCTTCACCCTCCTCAGAAACTGAGGGAGACCTGAGGGTGGTTTAATCCCACGCCAGAGACACCACCTCTCCGGACACAGTTGTGCCAGCCTGCCCTCCACTGCTCTTATCCATCTCACCCCCCTCTTCTCTCTCTCTCCTGCAACAGAGATTACAACCACTTCTGAACAGCAAGCTCAGCTTCTCCTTTGAAACTTTTCATCCCACGTTGGTCCAGGTCCAAGTAAACAGCGCGCGCAGTAGGCTCTTGCCAGGGCATCTTGTTTTGGCTGAACAGGTTAGTACCATTCGCGTGAGCAGCTGAGCCCGCAGTCGTGAAGGGGCAGATACCTTGGCAGGCAGAAGCGACAAGCCCTTCCACCGGCATGACTGCAGCCAGCTAGGGTGTGGGACCAGGTCTGAAGCACCAGTTTAGAGGCACTTTGGGGTTGGTTCATGCTCCTGGAAAGTTCAGCGAGCATGTTCTGGTTGGCAGCACGTCTGGCCATAAACAAACACTGACTCAAATCTTGCTGGTCTATACGTAGGTTTTGCAATCACAGTTTATGCATCTGACTGGAAATACAGTTTCAAGTTTACACATATGCTGGGGTCATACCTAGCTGGGCAACATCATTATGAGGCTTTTTGACTCTTAAAAAAAACGAGCTAAGTGCAGCACCCTACATCCACGCTGGCACTGCGCACTCGCCGCTTCAATTCAATCTACTTGCATTTACAGAATTTTGGTCCTCACCAGGTGCCCAGCTGCCCTGTGACTGCAACTGGTGCTGTGGGAAACAGCATGCAAGGCTGCTGCCTGAGATCAAGAGAGACACAGCAGCATCCCTGAGACTGTGGTTTTCTTGGATTTAAATGAGCTAAGTTACCTCCTCATGGACAGAGCAAGGTGATCCCACTCTCTGTGTTTACACTCAGGCTGTTGGGCCTTTCCCTTAGATCCTTGATGAAGCATCTAAGCCATTTTCCCTTTGCTCTGCAAAAGAATCAAGGGGCTAGTGGGTTAGCTGTAATGGTATGAATGATCCCACATGTTTGGGACCGTATTTTACATGTGACTGGGAACAGAATAACTTGTTTAATCAATGTATCAAGGTCCTTTGTTTGATTAAGCTTCTATTTGCCTCCAGGCTGTTTTGCAGCACCAGTTTTATCGCAGAAAATTGAGCAATGTGTTCTGCAGTTCCCATGATTATTCAAGTTACCCTTTGGCATACCGGACACTGCCATGTCCTGGAGTGTCAAGTGGAGTGAGAAGTGGAGCTAGCGGTTAGGTGAAATACCTCCGTCTGGCTCTAGCTCCTGCTGCATGATACACCTCAAAGCAGGCAAGAGAGGAGGCAAGTCCCTCCTCCCAAGCTAGTGTGGGGAGGCGTGCAGAAGCCCCCCGGCATGGAGAAGCTGCCGGGGCAGAGAAGCCCCCGCTGGGGTGCCAGGGAGCTGAGTGTGAAGAGTTAACGGAGGAGAAGGCAGGAGGGGCCACCCTGGAACAAAGAGGTGGGAAGCAGAACATGCCTTTGAGCCCCAGGGGCTAAGCAATTACATTTGGCAGTGCTCTTCTGAGGCGGCTTTTTTTCTTGCTGCCCTGGGAATACAGTAAGAGCTGCCTGTTAGGAAAATATCAGATAAGAATTCCATGTAATTTCCAGCCCCTGAACAAGTGAACAACCTAAGATAAGTGTTTCCTCAGGCTTATATTTGATTTCTGTGGAAATCCATATGTGCTTAAGGGCCACCCACGTCACACCAGTGCATACCTGTTGTAAGCTGATATTTTGTACGAAAGCAAAGGGATAAATCCTTCATTTCACACACGGGGCGCGAGCTGGATATTACATGAAGCCTCTCTGCAGCTGGCTGTTGTGCACCACACCCGGTCGGACAGCCAGACCTGCACAGCCTACCGGCGATGCTCGGTGAGAACCTCCAACTCCTCTCCTCCCTGCTGCCTGCCACGTCCTCCAGGTAGTCAGCTGCCACCTTAGCTGAGAAGTACCCGGAGGGATGGAAGCAGCCCTGCTGCCATTTCAAGGGGAAGGAGAGAAGGATGGATGTGAGAGTCACCGTGCTTCTTATCCACTGCCTCTCCCCAGCCCGCACACACCATTTACATACTTGGCCTTAAACACATGCCGTCTCCACACGCAACACCTAACATGGTGCAGAAAGAGCAGCTACTGCTAAGATTAGGCTAAGCAAAGCTTGTTCTTAGCACTGGGCTGAGCTACATCTATAGCATCTTTGCTACCCACACCAGGCTGCATCGGGGCTCTGGACACACCAGCGCAAGCCTGAGGCTGGGTTTGGGGCGAACTAGGCAGACTGGCTTGCGTTCGCATTTTTCAAGCCTACATCCTCCTGGAGCAGTTTCATTATATCTGTATTGTGGACCTTGGAGAAGATTCTCCCTGGTTTCCTCCCTAGGGAAACCAGCTGCTTTGCTCCAGGCTGGAACCTAGGAAAAGGCTAACAGGGACAAAGCAAAGAGGATGAGGGTGGCTGGAGCGAAACTGGGACCGAATGAATTTGACAGAACCTGCGGTGATGTGTGTGTGTGCTAACCCCAGCTCTCCAACGGAGTGACTAATTAATCTGGTTTCTGTGCTTTGCTGATGCGGCTGTATTGGTTTGGGGAAGCTTAAGCAGGTCTATCGTCAGTTTTATTTTGCAATATGACAATGCTTTGCGGTGCACAGAAACTGGACACATTCCAGGCACGCTGCAACAGCATGCCCCCTGGCCAGCTGCAGCCTCCTCTTCCATCGCTTGAAGAGAGGACCCAGCATTTTTCAAAAGACCTCTTTTCAGTCCTTTCAAGTTCTTCAGATACTTTCACATTTTGAGTTTTAGTATATTAGAAAAATAAATTTTATTCCTCACTATTCTTATTTTTTATTTTATATATTATCAGGTATAACTATTTATTAATTCAATTGCTACATATTTAGTAAATTATTTTTAATTGGTTTAGTTTTAAACCTTTTGTCCTAAGAATTTCCATGTGCTGAAGGAGTGGAGGGGGCAGGAAAAATAAAGACTCCTTCATCTTAGTAGGTTTGTTAACCTATAGTTTTAATACAACATCCTGGTTCTGAAGACCAAGTAACATACACAAAAAAATGACAGCTTCATTATTGCCCACTACATGCATTTGCTCATTCAGGGCCCCGCTGTTAGTAAAAAAATAACATCATAGTCTGCAGAACAAAGGGCATACTGAGGCCGGCTATACTTTTTTAGGGAGAAGTTGGAAGGATATGGAAACATATCTCCCGGCTTCCCATCTTACCTGAAGAGACCAATCCATACAGGTGACGACACGATGCTTTGACCAGTGCTCATCATAAAACTGACGGTTAAAGGAAAGGTTGGCTCCTGCTTGAACATCTCTGTGGGGATTCAAACAAAGTGACACTTTTTGAAGTACCAGCATTCAAATGCTGTGAAAAGCAATGCAAAAGTTTCTGACTGCTACTTCTAAAATCTCTGCCCAGCCTGAAGAAGTCTGCCACCTTGATTCAATTGCTCTCGCTGACTGTCTGGCTGATAACAAATCTGCACCAAGGAACAAATTTTACGTCTGTTTCACACAATCACATTTCCCATTAATTTCCCTGGGACTGCCTTCCTGACTCTTCTGGGTCACCCTTGGCCACCTCTGCCACCTTTGTCTCTCCGGACTGAACCAGGCCCTGGCAGTCAGCTCCACCTTTTCTGAATCTCCACCTCCAAGCTATAACCAAATCTCTGTTATTTTTGATTCCTGAAATCTTAAAAGTTACAGCACCTCCTCCCAGCGACGGAGATGGCGGATGCCTTCTGGCACCATTAGGATGGGCTGAAGCTCCGTCCTGGTCCAACGCTGCCACACTGATGCATTTAGCTGGTCACAGGGACGATGCTCTAGAGTAACCTCCAGTAACTTCAGTGCAACACAGCTACTGATTTGCCATGAGGCTTCAACAGATAGGCAGCTGTTGAAATCTAAATACTTCCTCTCGTATTAACAAGTTTTGCTTCTTCTACTCCCCTATCAATTGCTGAATACGCAACCTGTCACCTCTCGTCTTATGTGTTTAGATTGCAAACACTTTGGGAGATCATCATTTTCATCCACACAATGCATAGCACAGTGGGATCCGTTACAGACCTGAGGCAGTAGTAGAATGTAAACAGCAGCAATTTGAATTTGTAAAAATATCGTGATACAAGCACACTGGAGCATACACATGCACATCTACATATACATGTGTACACACACATTTATCTGTTTCAATTACTAATGTTTTTCTTCAGAATTTGAAATTTCATCCCAAAAAATGAAACGAAAAATTAAACCTCCTGCATAATATGTAAAAGAAAAAAAACAGAGCAATAAACCATGAAGCTATTTTACAAAATAATTTAGGCTAACAAAGTGACCCAGGCCTTCACAGAGAGGTTTTAAACTTTTCTTAACTATAAAAATGTTTAGTTTAGTTTTAAAATTAAGGTTTCCTGGCATTGGAATTCTTTTTATAAAGGTTATTTTACAAAAGCAAAAAACCCCAAACTGACCCATCTTTCTCTTCTACATCTCTGCCACTGTAGTCGAAGAAGATGTCTGAATCTTCAGCCAAAGCTCGCTCAATTACACGTATTGTCCGGTCAAAAAATATCAGGAATTCTTCTGAATGGAGAACTTGCTGTTTTTCTTCTTCTGTCAGTTCTCTGGGAGGAGCTTGGAAAATGAAAAGATGTAGTTAAAAGTATGACATTTCACCCCTTTCCCAATGAATCAACATCTTCAGTGGGTTTCTTTTGACATGAAAGCTTGCCATAGCAATGTCAGGACAAAAATCAAAGCTTTACTCTTAAAATCATGACTAAGAATTTTCTAGTATATCTAAACATACTAAACATGTATATTCCCAGAATGTAGCATTTACATACAAGAGATCCTATATCTTCTGTATTTATTATTCTGAAATGGAAAATACTTAAACCCCCCAAATTAAATAAACTCAGTGTTCCTATTTCAGGAAATGGCTGTGACTGACGTTTAGGCAATACCTAACTCGAAAAAGCAGAACACTTATGTAACAGGGGACCTGTCAGAGGGGCCAAAGATAAAATAATCTTCTTAACTTATACTACAGTTCTTTGTGTTAAAAGGGTTCACGTTATCTCTCCCTTCACTTCTTCCCATTTCTCCTTGGTGTCACTGATAAATTCTGTCTCTGCTTTAGAGCTTTTGTGAAGCAATGAAGTAAATAACCAAAGATATTCTCTGAGGCAGCAAAATCGAAAGCAACCGACCAAACACCGGTTTCTTTAAGGCAGTTTTATTCCTTGCAGAGAACTCCTAAGAGCAAGAGCAACAAATGCCACTGAGCTGTGGCCAAAGCCGCGCTGGGAGGGGGTAGGAGCCATCTCAGGCACCGGTCAGGATAGCCTGGCCCCCACGAGATGAAGCTGCTTCTTTACACATACGCAGAGATGCTAAACCTTTACTTCCAAACCAATATTTCCAGTATGGCCCTTCATTTGAAAATACTGTCTTTGCAGGATGCACCAATGCTACGTCTCCATCAGTTTAATGAGCTGTTGGTAAATTCCAACTCAAATGTGAGCGTCAGAGGGAAAGGAAATTGGGATGCTGCTATTGCTACAGTGCAAAATTCTGTTCTCAATTACACTAGCAGGGTCATATTGATATTGTGGCAATGTTGTATATCAATTATGCCTTTGCTTTTAAGCCATCATTTTAGTTATATTTCAGAATTACTTGTATTTCAAAAAATGCCATTAGTATCTTCACAGTTACACCAAACCAACCTTGCAACTAGCTTAAATTCCCAGCATGAAAAGCTTTGCTGACATCACAGGAATTATGCTAACAGAGAATTTTGTTCCAAATTTATAATGAGGTACACAAACAACATATCATAAACAGATTTATTGCAAAACTACAGAGAGTCATACTTAGAGTTTAACTGTCGATCAAAGGTCTCCTGCATTGGCTTTACACCACAGATTTGAGGTGTTTACTTGTGAAAATGACCTTGCAGTCTCCCTAGGCCATATTGGGTTAAAACACCAGCAGCCAAAAAAGATAATTCAGCACGGTACCTCAGAGAACACCCAGTATACATCAAAGTTTAACTCCCAGCCCTGTCATACATATCTTAATGTTTAATTAAACAACGAGTGACACAGTTTAAAGTTGCAGCTCAAAATTATCTTCCAGTTGCTGTGCCGTGCCACACAGCTACTTTCAGCTATCAGGGAGATGTAGCCCTTGCTCGCCATCTGATTTTCCCGTGGTTCACACCAGATTTGTGTGCTCCAGTGCCCAAGTACGCCGCCGCCGCCACCAGCCCCAGGGGCAAGGACGGATTGAAAGGCGCAACAGCAGGCAGGAGTGGTGACATGGTCAACATTACTGCAGTACTCAGCTCCCCCAATTTTCAGTGTACCTGCTTTCTGAGCACTCCCCGTGGTTGGGAGAGGCTGTTATCACCACCACGCTTCGGTTTGCCTCAACTGGTCAAAGCATTAGCTCTGAAAGACAAAGTCTCTGCACTACACCTGGGCTAAATATAGAGGGCAGGAAAAATGCAAAAGGTGGAGGAGCAATTTGGCCCTCAGGAGACGAAGTAGCTAAGAAGTTAGAAACTTTAGCCTTTGACGATCTCCTATGGCCTTGGCCCTATGCTTCCTACCATCAGGTTAGTGGTCCCTGTGGAGCTCCACAAATCCAGAGAATATCTATGTCCCCCCGCATGGTCCCCCTGAGTAGCAGAGCAACAATTACCAAGGCAGGAGCACAATTTGCCTCTAAGTGCTTTAGACAGAACCAATGCATGTGATAAAGAAGAATGACTAGCAAAAAGTACAGGTTGACCTATTGCAGCATCCACTACTGAATAGTAATTGGCACTAAGGGAACTCATCTGGCAAGGAAGCCTGTAATGAGGCAATATCCCACTGTCACCACTAAAGCATCGCTTTCCGAGAATCAAAGACAACAAGCATGACAATGCAGCAAAATGGCATAAAAGGGGAGAAAATAACTGCAAAGGCAACTGGAAAACTCATTTTAAACTGCTCCAAATGGTAAAAATTATTTGCTAAATCAAATCCTCTCTACAGCTTGGAAATATAAATTTATTACTCGGCCATTTGCCGACTATAACTGGCAAGGAAAATACAACCAAAAATCAATAGAAAGGGAAAAGGCAAAAAATAAACAGCTTGGGAGCTGTGGAGTGTTCACAAGCAATGGAGATACACATGATTGCAGTTCTACCTCAGCAAAATCTCCCTTGCAGTTAGCAATGATCTGTGGGAGGCCAGCAGTCTATTAAACCCTCTTCGGTATCAGAAACACCTTGGCTAAAGTTTGTGGGGCATAAATCAGTTTACCTCATTCATCTGACTGACACACCAGATGCCCCCTGGCGATATTAAGCTTCATATTTTAACCTTATTTTCTTCTTTCATTCGGCTGCCTCTGAAGTTTTATTTGAGGCAATCTCTTCTTACAAGAATGTTAACATCATTACTTTTTCCAGTGTAAAACATTGCTGTAACTACTGCAAATACATGAAGTATAAGCAAAAAACCCAAAACAGACAGGCTTGTTCTTTCAAATATGAAGATTTTCTAACCATTTATCTTTCAGAGCCACTTCCATTTTCCCCTTGTTCCTTCTCCCTGTCTGCCCATTACCTTGAATAAAATAAAAAGAAACTATGTAATTTTCTGCAATTTTTCTTCCTATCTGGGAGCTTACAGTTACTTTGATCTCAGCTTTCAAGAGACACAGGCTCTCTTCAAGGAAAACTCTGAGAAACGTAAGTAGCTGATCAAAGTATTTTTTGCTTTGTTTTGTCACAGATACCTATGTGATGTGACAATATTTTCAGAAATTCCCTGTAAGAATACAGCATTTGTCTTCAAGTATCTGCTCTCCCTGGTGTAAAAACCAAACAAACCACATCTAACCTAACAAAGCCTAGTGCGATGCTTAGCTTACCAGTGCTAAAAGCTACGTGCTTATTGCCAGGAGTGCAATGAAAGCTCCTGGAAAGGAAGACCCATACTTCGCTCTTGTTTCTATACTGTAGCTTCGTAATGAACTATTGTGCCTGTGCTCTGCTTCCCGCCCGGAGGAGCTGAACCCATCCGTGGGCCCAGCTCACATCAGGAGGAGCCATGGTGCAGCCACCAAGTTCTGCCTAACAGGGCCACTGGGCATCCCGTCTATCCATGGACCCACTGAAACATAGATGCTTGCTTACCCACAAGCAGAGTGCTGTCTGGGTGGCTCTGGGGTTATGAGGTCGACAACATGTATCAAAGAAGCCCTGTACTCATGTTAATCTATAATACTGCACAAAATAAAATGGAATTTACATTTAAAATTAAAACACCGTGCAGTTATATATGCACAGGGGACACCGCAGGGGAAGAAAATGCGAGGTATATCCATAATGAAAGACATTGTACACTTGTGCATGAGCAAAAAGGTCTAGAATATGTAACAAAAATGGAACGTGACATGAAAACAACAGATTTATTCAACACTTGTTTCTGAAAAAGAAGAGCATTTTTTTATTTCGCATGTGATTTAACACGATCCTCAGAAATACTGTATTTCACATCAGGTCCTTTGTCCACAAATTTCCTTGGACAAAACAGAAAAAAAAATTGATACGAAAACATTTCCTTGGATCTTTAGGAACTAAGATAAAAAATGCTGCAGACTTGTTCTTATCTGGCAGAAGCAGGTTTGTAGTAAATATAATATCCATAGTTGTGATAACAGTGCAGGATCAAATTCACAAATATTTAAATATCAGGGGAGCCAAAAAGATATTTAAAAAAACCAAAACAAAACAGAAAAAAGACTCCCATTTAAATAAGTATAATAGAATATAAAAAATATTCTCCTGGAACCTAAGCAATTGTAAAAACCTGGCAAAAGGAATGAAGTCCATTAAAGGCAAAAAAGAAAAAAAGAACAGAAAGAGTAAGTGAATGAAAGAAAGGGCGAACTAATAAAAACAGTAAAGCAGGAAGCAGCCTTGTTATGAGCCCGGAGATATAACGAGAGACAGAAGGAGATTAGTAAAACCCTTTTAAGATCTGCATTATTTCTTTCAGCGTGTATTTAAGACCATGTAAACTTTAGATATGCTGACAACTGAGGATGGTAGAAATGTACAGCGTGAGAACTGCAAGGTGCTAAGGGGCTCTCAGCAGCTTTTAGTCCTTGTTTGCCGATAGCCTGCGACCCTCTTGTTTTTCTTGTGCTTCTCACTTTCATGTCAGGCTTGATATGTGCCTGGTTGTGTTGGGTTTAAAACGCAAGTCCCTGCATGGCACAATTGCTGAACATGTAAAGGGAGATTTCGAGGTGCACGTAGGAATTTTTCAGTTCTGGAGTAGCAGGGTCCAGAGCCTTAAATTCGAAACTGTGCCAGGGCTGTTCCCATGGATGGTGCTTCTCTAGGGGCCGTGCTGAGCACTACCCTGAGCACCCCTGAGCCGGGCTACCAGGGTGGGTCGGCACTCCCGAGCTCGCTGTGGTGTCGGCGGCAGTGAAACCGTGGCGTTACAGGCTATTGCAAACCCCAGCGAGTTCACGGGGCAAAGCTGGCAACCTGTCCTGCTTCTCTGATACTGAAGCCTGAGCTGGCGAGGGCTAAACCACCTCCCCCACCGCAACCTGCTGCGTGGACACCCGAGCCCTGTGCAGAGGGCCAGGGCAAGAGCGGGGCACAGCTGGCCTTTGAAGTTGCAGATCCCAGCCTCCCCCATCACAGCCTTTCAGGCAGGTTTCTGTGGATATATCTACGGCTTCAGATAAATGCAGGTTGAGGCCCACTTTCAAGACCCAGCCCGTCTGGCTGTTCATGTGGTTTCTACTGACACAAAGAGGCGCCTTAGGTGGAGCTCCAGAGCTCTCTGGTGGTGGAAAGCCCCAACCCACTTGATGCCACAGTTTGGGACCAGTGTCTTGTTTACATGGTCAGGAGAGGCTGGGAACAGGCAGAGCCCAGCCCAGTTCACCAGCAGGTATCCCACACTCGGCTCTTCCAAGGACGCTGGGGAGACCATGCACCTGAGACACGGGTGACAACAGGCAGCCCCGTGGAAGAAACACAAGAGGGTCCCAAGGCTTCATATGCTTCAAACGGTCAACAAGCCAGGTCTTCACCTCCCACTCCAGAAACACTTTGCGGGGCTCGAGCTGCTCCTCTGCCCTTAGCACCTCCGTGGCATTGAAGTGCCGCAAGGGGTGGTGTGCCAGGCAGGCTGCCCTATTGCAGGTGCACTGTGTGCCTGCTGAATAATCCCACCAAACCCCGCAGAGCAACTCTGGGGTGTGCAGGGGGAAGACGAGGAAATTAAGCATGCAATAAATGTCTGTAGAATTAAATTTGACTACCTATAAACCACAAAGAAAAAAAAAAATTGCATTTCCTCTTAAAATACCATTATAAAAATAGAGCACTCCTGTCCTGCTGGCTTGGGGAGAAGGAGACTGAACAGACTGGATCCAATCTTTATTTTTCATCCTGACCTATTTTTGAGTTATATTCATGAAAAAATTGTCTGCCTTTCTCTCCCCACACTTCTCTTTCCTATGGTTTTTTTTTCTTACACTCCTATAACTCAAAAAAGGCCATGCTGATTTTTTTTAATCTGTTAAAAAATGTGCTCCCTGAGCTGAAACCAAATTTCAGCCCAGAGCAAATTTTTACGGCTGGGTTATAAATCCCTGAAAAACAGGATTCATAATGGAAGTGCTGACACAGCCTTAACTACCATATAGCAGTGTGAATGGCGCCACTATAATATCTATTAGAGATTCTTTAAAAAGTTTGCAAAATATTGTCTTGCCTTGCAGAGAAAAAGAAGCCAGAGTACTTAATGCCAACATAAACATGCTTTTAACCCATTATGTGCTAATTTGCAGAAAAGCTATTAATTCTGAGTAGGCACACAGAGTGCAGCACCGACAGGAAATGTTCTTCTAAACTCCTGTTTGACTTGTAACATGGTTTTAATCACTTCCATGAAACACAAACGATGGCTTCAAACTCTGAACATTGCTCAGAATATGAGAAGGGTGATTACAACAGAGAGGAAAACAGGATTTGTTGGCGAAAGGGCTAACGCCAACAGGGAGAGAACGACACCAAATGTAGAAATGGGACTCCATTCCCTGTCAATTTGGGGACAACTGCTTCATTTGATTCACAGCATTTAATGCCAATCATCAGCACACCACTATTTTATCCGTCACAACACGTACTGCAGGTCAAGTTCATTTTCTATCAGGCAATGAGCATGTTTTCTTCTTCCTTGAACCCAGTCAAGTGTTAGCACCTCCCAAAGCCGGTTCTGCTAAAACAAGCCGTGCCTTGCTTTTACAGCCTGCAGTTTGGGTGTTTGAGACCAGTGCTAAACTAGCTCCGTTGATCTACCGTTCCTGGAGGATCTGCTAGGCAGAGAAGGGGAACACTGCCCGGAGACTAAAACACAACAAAGAAACAAAAGAAGTTGGCGGTGGCGCTCGGTCAGCAAAGTACATAAAAGGCTAACTTGAAACTAATTTCCTCTCACACTGGAGCTGCTGGTATTTCAGCTCTTTCCCCCCACTCCACACAGGGGTGAGTATTGACTGCTCAAAGCGACACACCAGAATAGCCAATACTCTAGTAAACTCCCAGATGAGGAAAACCAAATTTCATATCCCTCTTCTAATTACGAAAGCTAGAACGGGTCCAAGAGAAGCAAACAAGAGACAGCCAGCATATCTACCATGTCCAGTGCTGACATGCACCACTTCGACATGTGTCTCTTGTCTGCACCAGAAAGAAGTAGTAACCTGAATTTTTGTCTCTTGTAACCCTGGAGAGTGTCTCAATCCAGAGAAATAGATAGAAGGGCTGAACCTGCCCAGCTTCAGCTTTGACCTTAAGTTCCCTGGGGGCAGCTCCTACAAAAAATTTTGATTTTGACTGTCTACATTTTCCAGTGAAATGGTTTTCTGCTGGAAGGTTACTGACCACCACTAGGTTTAAGTTTGCCCCTCTCAAGCAGGCAGACAGTTACGGGCTCTAAGTGCCTCTGAAGACCAACCAACTTTATGGAGCTGCTGGAATGCCTGGCATTCGTGTTTTAAATCTTTCATGTAAGCAGGCTATTTGAGCCAGAGGACAAGTAAGCACCAGTCCTGGAATCCAAGAATCTCTACTTTGTTCCCAAATTATGAGGACATGTTGCTGCTTCTAAAAAGCCGAAGTCTTGTGCCTTTCACAAGCTTCTCATACCTACCAGCTGGGTCGCTGGGATACAATTTTCTGCTTTTATGCCACTCATGTGGTTCTGAATCAATAAAACTGGTGACTGTTTCGATTTCACAGTGTTCTCAATAATGGAAACTACCTATGAGAATAACTACTGGCGGGATTCAGTCCTTTACAGCTGTAACAAAATCCTTTTCATTTTTTAAGGTACCTTCTTTCACTTCCTGCTTCTGGTCTTGATTTTCTGTCTCCAAGTCATCCTGTGCTTTTGGCTCCACCATCTCTTCATCATCTTCATCCTCTAAAAAAAAGGGAAGAAAAAGATTTGTGAGATTCACCTCTTTAAGGGGGAGGGAAATAATGTATCTTCTTTATGATTATAAACTGGTAGTAAACACAGGTAAAGCAAAGTGCACAATAAATGGAAACGTCTACATGTATACTCAAAGTGACACTCTCAGAAATTTGCCCCCAGACTGCAAGATAATCTGCTAACACAGGGCACCTGCCACTTCTGCTCCCTGTGGCAACTTCCCATCTCAGATGTCGGCTGAATATCTCCCTGACCTTGGAGATGACTTCTTGGATGGCATAAGAACAGATGCAAACATGTTTCAGCCTGGCAGCTATTCCACAGTTGGGACACCTGCTATCCAGACACCTCATTTCCAATTCAATTCTCACCAGATTAATTTGTCTTTTGACCTACAGGAAGGGGTTAAATAGAAATCTGACCTCAGGTCAGATGCCACTAGCAAGCAAACAAGCATGGTACAGTTCTGAAAAGTCATCACCATCAACTGGGGGAACACAGCAACCAAAAGTGGCATTTGGAGCTTAAGAACCATTCTTGCATTAATACGAATTTAATGAACACTAAAATTTGACACATGTCTGTTACTACTGCCAGATGTTTTAATGACCCTTCCTGACCTATGCAAATGCCTCTCTCCCCCTCTCTCTCCACACTCACATGTTCTCATTTTATTCAGGAGGGCAAACCATTCATTCCTTGATGTCTGTCTGAAATTATAAGGGTTCTGATTGTGCAGACCAAAGCATAATACAAGCAGAGCTGGAAAGACAGTGATGCATCAAAATGGCTCAAAGCCTACCTAACCCTCATTACTTGTTCCCAGCTACAGCAACGTGATTCATTCTCCAGTGCCCAGGGCCAGCACCCAACCCACTCACACTCATGCAAGGGTAGGGATGCTCAGCCTTCCAAATTCAGTGAACTGCAAAGACTGAAAATAGACCTGGTCCTAAAAGAGTGAGTTACAGTAATTAACAATTAGGCTGAGCAAATCTGTGGGCTATGGAGGATAGCCTGATTCTGGAGCTTGATGCACCATCAAGGCATAGCAAGCACCACTGGTGCCCTGGGTCGGTCCATCGCATGGGAGAACGCGTGTTGTCCCAGCCCCAGGGCATTCAGCCGTCAGCAAAACCACTGCAGTTCCTTCGGGGCTTTCTGCCTGTCACCACATGGTTCCTCGCAACATAATGCTTCTGCAGGCACACTCTCTGCTCTAACACTGCCACGTTAACAGGGCCTGGAAGCGGGCAGGGGGCAACACGTCACACTTCTCCAACTGCTCGGCTACTGGCACCTTCTCCTGCGAAGGCTGGCTGCAATCAGTCCTGGCTTCTTGGGGAGATGTTGGTGCTGACAGGTTGCATTCAGCCAACAGTAACACGCAGCTGTATGTTGTTTTCGATAACGTAATAGGCACCTACTATTCCCACCACGTTGCCTACCCTAGGACTTCTCCCCCCAGAAGCCCACAAGAGCACATGTTGCTAGCTGACATCTTGGCTGGAGAGCATGGCTTCGCCACATACTGTAAGGGAGTATCTCAGCATGGACAGATATGCTTTTCCTTCTTGGGAAAAAGAGGAAATCTTGGCATAAGATCTGCCATTGCTCCCCCTACTGCTAGTGACTGCAGCGAGAAGAGGGAAAGCTTGGCTCCCCAGTTGTCAGGGAGAAGGACTAACCATGTGCTCCCCAGGCTGGGAAGGGAGGAGGAATCCAGCATGGATGTGGAGGCATTTCCAGAATGAAAAGCACTACTAACTAATGCCACCCCTTTATCAGGGATTTTTCAGACCATGAGAGGAAACCACCACTCGGAGTGGGGTAAAGGCAAGGTATTCACGATGCCTCCCTTTGATGCCTCACTGGGCGATTACGTTTCCCTAGGTATCCTATATAGAAGGGCTATAGAGAAGAGCTTTTAGAGAGCAAGCCAGGGCATTTCAGTTCGGCAGGGTAAACACATTGCTCTGTCCACTGGCTGAAAGGTAGATAACATCCGACGCAGTCAGCAGAGAGTCAGTGAGAAAAGCTCACCTGCCGTACACACACAGGAGGGGTAAAAAAAGGTCCTTCTGGCATCAGACTGCGGCACTAGCGGAGAGGGGATGTATGAAAGAGAGAGGCACTCCCAGTTTCAAAAAACAGATGAGAAGTGTGAGAAGAGAGAGGAGTGACCGGCGCAGCAGGGAGTGAATACTCTGCTAACCTCAGGTACATACGCACACACAGATAGGATCACAACGGTGTACAGATATATGCACACAGACACGCTTATGGTAGATACCTAATGAAGCCAACTCCCACAAGAGTTTTGTGAGTCTTGCATTACAAGTTTTCGTTCCCTAGAGCACCAGCTCTTGGAGCCAGCTGTTTACATATGGATTTCAGCTTTCATTTTTAACCTGTTTCCAACCTGTCTGCCTGTGCAGGGAAGTTTCAAAAGGGAATGGTTTGAGAAAACTTGCAGGAAGCAAACCAAAAATAAACCAGTATTTAATTGAAAATCTTGGGATTTTTAAGGCAGCATGCTATGCTTTTTAATGCCTGAGTTGCTAACGGACAGGGACAATGTAGCAAATGTAAAACTTGAGATTTAGTAGAGGGTTTTCAGACTGAAGGAAAGCAAATTTATCCCTGTCCCCTAGAAGTCCTTGATCCCCCAGATCAAGGGGGTGCCAAATTGTTTGCCTGCCTATTGTCTGTTCCTGCTTCTAAAGCAGAGACGGAATGAATGGCTGAGGCACAGCTGGAGCAAGGGGGGTATTGATACTTCTGCACCTGTTAAGGTAGATCTTCCTTACTTCCCTTCCTCTTCTGGGAACAAACAAAACCAAGTTTCCCTAGCTTTCCCTAGATTTAATTGCAGCAGAAAAAATAAGTAAAGGTTATTACAACACATGCCATGCCTTTTTTCCAAGGGCACGCACATCAATAAATTAGTTTTACTGGGAAGGCAGTGCAAGAGTTTTTAGCAGGTTAGACAGAGTTCAGATTGTCCTTATTTATTTACAGAGAAATGTATACACATGCACAGAGAAACTCAGCTAAAAGAACGATATGGTTGTGAGCCAAATGCTAAAATGTTAGCAAATGCCAGAATTTGGATTGCCTGGGCACGATTAGCTCCTTCCTCTCCCCACGTGTAGGCATGATGACATCATTCTGGAATTTCCTCCCTCTGGAGTGCTTGGCCTCATTTTCTGGGTGCTCAACAAGAGACACCTGGGGCCTGAAATGCAGAAGTGCTGAGCGCTGAAGTCAACTGGGCCTGTGCTTTGAGTGGAGAAAGGGCTAGGGAAATGCTATGAACACAAAAGCTCCCACATCTTTCCCTTTCAGCTTCCGCTGAAAGTTGTCATTCCGACATTTTTGTCCTTTTTCTCCCTGTGCTTCAGTGTTTTTGCATGATGGCAATAATATTGTGAAGATAATGTGTGTGGCAGAGAGACGTTCATCAGGATTTGGGGCATATTAAGATGCTGTCATGGGAGCACCAGAGAAGCAAAAGCTTGGAAGGGGATTAATGTTTTCTGTGTTCAGTGTAATGCTTAGACCGTGTGCATTAACATGAGATCTGAGGCCAGAGCACCAAATGGAAGACGATAAAAACCAGAAGGGTTAAAAAACTGACTCCTCATTAACTGGCTGACACAAGAATCTGTTAAGGAAAAAACCCCTACACCTTATCATGTAATTAAAACTGTATCGTCATACATATTCAAAAGGACTAATTAAGGATGCCCAGGAAACCTGCATTCTGGAATATCCAATATTGCTTGGCTTTGCAACCTGAATGTTTATATGCCTTTTTTTTTTTTTTTTTGATATTGTGCACTATTTAATGCCAATGTATGTATACTTACACATGTTCATGGTACATAAATTTGCTATTGTGCCTAAGCATAGTTATGCATTTGTACATTTGACTGTGCACGTACACATACATTACAGAACAATGGAAATGCTTCGGCATTCATTTTCCTGTGTTTTACTTAAATGTGAAAAAGATAACATTTATTGTACATTTACTGGCGAATCTGTGAGTGTCTACATGGTTATTTGCTTCCACATGTGCTCACTCAGATCAGATGTGCCATCGCAGTAATTGTCCAGGGAGATGAAGACACTTTTGTAGCTCCTGAACACAAATAGCCTTTCCCTATTTAAGAGCATATCTGACATGGGGAAGTTTAGAGAAATAACTTTTTAATTGCTTACATCACAGTAGTAGGAGTCTTCTAGTCACATTTGGCAAACACAGAGTTGCTACTAGCACCAGTAGTGTTACACCCTGTTCAGAAGATCTAAATCAGAACCCATATGTCTATTAAAGGAACCACATGAAAAAGAGCTAGTAATGAAGAAGTGTATAGCTGCTGTGTAACACTTCTCCTTTGTAGATCTCAAAGGACTTTGCAAGGAGGCAAAGACGGATAGATCCACTTACTGTAGATCACTCAGTAGACCAGCAGCTGTATGAAGAATAGAGGGTTGGCTTCAGAGTTTCAGCCTAGAGTCCTGCCCACTATGGCCACCCTGCCTTTTACTGTAAATAAACAGTTCCTCAATGGAAATGATCATTAAATGCTTAGGTTAAAGATGTTTGTCTGCTGAAGCTGGTGGAGCCGTATGTGGGATTAATATAGACTGACATAGCTGGACCAAATACCGTTTCTTCTTAACTCAGAGCTTGATGGCTCTCCAGGCTCTAGGAGGTGGCCAATCACTCCTAACAGTGCTTTGTTTAACATGATGAAGTAAAAGCAGAGCAATTGTTCTCAGCTTGTACTTAGGTTTGAACACTCCTGCTTGTGTTCCAGACCACAAGTGGTCTTGTCTGTCTAAAAACTTGCCCGTTTTTTCCAACTATAGAAGCTGCTCTAATAAAAAAGTATGATCTCTCCCTACAAACCTATTTTTTGTTTAATCTGTGTGTAAACCACTAATTTTCAAATGTTGCCCATTAGCTCCAATGAGCC